AAGTTGCAGCAGAACTCATTCCACCAACGCAAGAGCGTATTCAAGATATGATCACTCATGTGAACACGAAATATCAAAATATGTACATTCATGATTTCCTTCTGCGAGAGAATGTTGTGGCATTGTTGATGCTCAGTTTAGCAGCCCTTTCCCAAGATCAGCGAAACATTTTGACTTCTTTGATGACTCATTGTGGACGCCTCTTGCAGCAGTATACAGTCAATGAACTCAGAACGGTCTTCATTGAGATGTTCTGCGCAACAAAAAATTTCTGCTGACAACCCATTGATGCAGCCTGCAGGTGCCGGAGGACGAAGATCTTTTCTAGTCCTGGATGAAGGAGAAGAGGATGGCGCACTTGGCTACTGGGCAGAAGATGCAGATGATGGTGCTGAAGGATGATGTTTTCTGGATCTACGATGACACAAACTACACATGGTTTCAGAGAAGATTCCAAGGCAGAAGAGCCAGAAAAGGAAAAGGAAAAGGAAAAGGAAAGAGAAACGGCAAAGGAAAAGGCAGACCAGAAGGGAGACGTGGGAAAGGAAACTATGCTGATGAGCAATATGGTCAAGAGTCAAGATACTACTGAGCAGTATGACACAGAATAAAAATAGATTGTAATGCAATCCTTGCCGGAGAGCAAGAAGACTACGGCTATGAAGAAGCCATGGATTTTGGGAGCAGCTTGGACAAGCGTGGTATTCCAACAAAGGAAAAGGACAAGGCAAGAGAAAAGGTAAGAAAATCAATTGGAAATGAGATGGAAAAGATTCAGACTATGGAAGCCAACAACAATCCCTTCCTGCTCCTTCAAGGTCTTCGAGGTCATCAGACCAAGCATTCTTCGACTGGCGTAGGATTCAATGCGAGGAACTTACCGTCAGGTGAGAAGCCTACATGTTCTGTGCAGTGTTGTGAAGGCAACGACAACGATATTGATGCGGTTTCTTCACCAGCTGGATGTACAGTCAGACGAGTGTCAACCGGTTTATTTTTGACATAGGGGTGAGTAAGCTATCGCTCCCCTTGTGTACTTTTAAGCTATGAGACTACTTATCGGTGTGTAACACACTGGACCTGTAGGTATATGGGCCTTGGTACTTGTGGCGTTTTGGAGATCTTACTTGACTTTCGACTTGGTCTAGAAAGGAAAACAGTAGGGACGTAGCGCTCCATGGTGGAAGTGTTTTATGATTTGTGCCGGCTGAAATGGGGGCTTGTACAGCCTCATTTCCATACCATGGTTAGTGTTAGTCGTCTGTGACTTCTCTAGGCTCAAGGAGGACACTTAGCTTCGCGCGAAAAGACACTGGAGGTCTACTCTTCTGCGGGCCCCCCCTCCGCGGGATAAACTCCTGTTTCTCAGTTCCCATTGCTGTTTCTATGTTTCTCTGTTGCTGCTGCTTTGCTGCTGCTGCTGCTGCTGCTCGGTTTGCGCCAAACCACGGTTTACACAAGACACCAAAACACCGCTTACGCCAAACCACGGTTGGCGCCAACCACCGTTGACATCAAACCACGGTCTACACCAACCACTGTTTACACCAAACCACGGTTTACACCAACCACGATTTACACCAACCACCGTCTACACCAACCACGGTCTACACCGACCGCAATACCAGGGTTTTCACCAACCATGTTTACACAAAATCACGGTTTACACCAAACCCCGTTTTACACCATACAAGGTTTACATCAAACCACGGCTTGCGCCAAGCGCAGTTTACACCAGACGACGGTCTATACCAACCACGGTTCACACCAAAGCACGGTTGACACCAACCACGGTTTACACCAACCACCATTTACGCCAACCACAGTCTACGCCAGCCGCGGTTCACGCCAAATCACGGTTCACACCAAACAAGGGTTAAGTTTACATCAACCATGTTTACACAAAATCACGGTTTACACCAAACCACGTTTTACACCATACACGGTTTACATCAATCCACGGCTTGCGCCAACCACCGTTTTCACCAGACCACAGTCTACACCAACCACGGTTTACACTGTGTACACCAACCACGGTTTGTACCAACCACCGTTTACGCCAGCCAGAGTCACGGTTTACACCAAATCACAGTTCACACCAAACAAGGGCTTACGTGAACCCAAAACATAGTTTTGAGATCCCAGCTGTGATGGTTCACTGTTTGTTATACCTGACGGTGTTATCAATCGTGCATCTGCTGCTGCTGCTGCTGCCGCCACAGGTGGTGCTGTTTTGTTGCTGCTGCTGATGATGCTTGCTGCTGCTGGTTGCTGTTGCTGCTGTTGTTGCTAGAGTGGTTCTGTGTTTCCTGTGTTCAGGTCGTATTGGGGGGGGGACTGTCCTCTGCCCTCGGCCATGGTATGTTGCCTCTCCCGGCCCCGGCTCTGCTGCCAAAAAGGCACCAGCGCTGCTTCTTCCCCTAGTTTTCGCCACCCCTTGCTGGGCCACAAGTTGCCGACAAGGAAGATGCACTCATGGTATCATGTAACATCATATCCCATTGAGTACGTAGTAGTATTGGCATATGCACAGTACACCATGTACATGTTACTGTTTTGCATACATAAAACATATCGATGTACATAATATGTAATACACTGCATCTATCTACAAACCAATCATACTGCTGAGAGACTAAAACAAACTAAGTACCCATTGCATAGCCGAAACTCAACCCCCACCCACCCGTTGGCCGCAGCTCCTTCATGTTTGATGGGAAGAGACGGGATAAAATAAATTGGTGTGAATTATGCTTTTGCACCCTTGAATGTTGAGTCGAGGCCTTTTTGGCGATATTGCCTGGTTGCTTTGCTGGTTTATATGCCTTCTGATCATACTCCATCTCTTTGGGTGGGGGCCATAACCAACAGTCAGATACTGAATACTGATGCTGCTCTGGTGGGTGCGGCTCAACAAGACTGGGTGTGAATCAGGGACTGGGTCCCACGCTGGTGATCCAGACTGCTCCATGCGGGTGGATTATTGCAGAGCGATCATACACCATTTTGGAGCCATGGGCAAGTGATTTTGTTGGTGTGTCCAAATCTGATTTGGGAGTCGTCCGTAGAAATGGACAATTGCACTGGGTTTTGCAATCATTATCCCTTCCTCTGCTCTGCTCTTGCAGCTCCTGCATTGTGCTGATGAATGTTGGACTGCGTTCGGAATCGGCTGGTTGAAGTTCTTGTTGTTCTTTAGGACACTACCGTCTGGTTTTGCCTTGTCTGTCTAGAAGTAGTGGCGTGCTGCTGAATTTTCGGAGTAGAAACCTTAGTGTGATTTCCAAAGATGCAATGTCATAGATGTGCTTTGTATCTGAAAACAGTCCGAGAACGAAAGAATCATTTTTTTTGCCTACTGCAGGTTGGAGTTCTGTTTGGTTCTTCTGTTTCCGTTCAGGGCGAGAAAGATCCTGAGTCCAATCTGTACCGACTCTTGTCGCTGTGGAATGGAATATTCGACAACTACAGAGGCCTGGCACGGTGAAATGGACGTGAAACCTTCACATTTGTGAAGGTTGTTGATGCTGATCGCTTAGGACGTCTGTTCTCTTGTGAGTGGCCATGCGCCGTCATGATTTGCTGGAAATCATATTACGTACATGTGTGGGACCATACGGTTGTGAGTTTTCTTCCTCGCTGCTGGCAGGCGATCTGCAGAAAAGTGAGATAAAATACTGGGGTGACAACTACGGGTCACACTTCCAAGCTATGGCTAAGTTTTACTCTGCCCCAGTCTTGGGGGAGAGAGGTTCTTCAGGAACAACCAAAGACAAAAAGGATGAACCGCAAAGAGAGTGGGACAACAAGGAACTCTTGCTGTGGCATATAAGGCCTTGAACGCATTGAACCAGAAGGCCACAGACAAGGGCGTGGAAGAAGTCTCTGGCCTCTCCTCCTGCCTCTCCAAAGACGAATTAGAGCACATTCAGAAGCGCGTCAAGAAGGTGATCTTAAAACAGTGTGTGGAGTCAAAGCGCCAAGCCGGAGAGATTGCCATGATGAGAAGTCCGAAAACGGACGAGGAATTGAAGGAGAAGAGAAGGGCATTAGACATATTAAACAAGACATGCAGGGAACTCAGGGTCATGCACCTCTGCGCCATACGTGAAGAAGAGAAGCAAGACTTCCGCAATGCAAAATTGATGGTGAAAGCAGCTTTGAACCAGCGCAAGGCGCAGAAGGATGCAGAGCAGAAGAAGCAATTGGAAAAAGAGAAGGGCGCGCTGGACCAGCGGAACCAAGGCCTAGAAGAAGATAACAGGGCGCTGGACGAAGAAGCAGACGAACTCTACCAAGAGAACCAAGACCTTCGGCAAAAGCTCGAAGAAAAGGATGACGAAATCGAGGAGTTGAAGAGGCAGCTACAACAAGCAGAGCGAAGGAGAGGCAGGCAAAGCACCAAATCGGTCTTAGTAGGCCCACATTCTGCTTTTCCCCTCAAATACCATCAAAGCTTTTCTGAAAAAGCAGGGGAGTGATGGGCTGTTTGCAATTGCTCAACGGACTGACATCCCTGCGCCAGGGCGAGTACAACATGCGGAACCGCAGCGTAAGCCAAGCGCACGGTCCGAGACAGGGGAGGATTCTGGCAACTCTGCGTAGAACTGCCTCGAAACTCTTTGTGTTTCAAGGAGGCCTGTCGTTTCACTTTACTTGACTTTAGCTTGAGAGGATGCCAAAGAGGCTCCAAAGGAGGCTCCGAAGGAGGTTCGGAAGGAGGTTTGCATGTCTGTCGTTTCACTCTAGCTTGATGGCAAAGGAGGCTCCAAAGGAGGCCCGAAGGAGGTTCCAAGCTCCACGTAGAACTGACGCGAAACCCTGTGTTTCAATTTGGCCCTGGAGCAGGACTCCAAATCAATGTCCTGGAGCGAAGGTCAAGTTGAAAAGGGCCTCAAGGGTGAAGCAAGCTGGTTATATAGAGCCTTGATGGGGTGGGGATACGCATTTGCTCTTCTCTAACCATACGCAATGCGTGTCTTGGGACCGACGTCACTGAGGATGGCGCCATGAGCCCGTTGCAGCTTACCACGTTGTGCTTCGACAACCCACGCTTCATCATCCGCGGCCTCGGCTGTGCGCTCCTCGACGGCCGAGGGGGGCCGAGGGGTCGGGCTGCTGAACACTCAGGGCATCGCGAGTCTCGGTGGGAGGGGGCGAAATCTGCTGGAGCTGTGTTGCCATGCCCGTTTTTCTTCATGTTTCTTTGCTTCTTGGTCTCCCCCTGTATAGCAAGAAGCAGAAAGAGAAGAAATTCGTGCTTAGCTTGGAACAGTGTTCCTTTTTCCGTCGGGCGGTATCCATCTTCAGAAGCGGGTGCAGTGTGGATATATAGCGCCTGTTTCTGGAGATGACCCCACATGATCTTAGGAGACCCAGGAGGCCCAAAACAAGCTCGGAGATCGGAAAACGATCCTCCGAGATGTCTTCTTTTGGAAAAGGCCGGTGACACTCTGACTCCTCCCAAGAAGTGGCCAGTGGCTGGCCTGAAACGAAGACTACTGACGTCCTCTACCAACTGTCGGTGGCGTCCTCTTTCATGTGTTCGACCAACTGACACCACTTGACGACCCTTTTCCATTCTCTCGAGGGATCGCCACATCGGAAGCACGGCACTCCACCACCGCTAAGCGGTGCTTTAGTGACCCTTCATGCCGAGGGGCCCCGCCCGACCCGACTGGTTCCCCGCTCGACCGCGCGCGCGCGCGCGGGACGAGCTCGTGGCGGCTGGTGCCAGGAACTTGGCCTCGGCCAATCGCCACTGTGATTATGGGGGCTTTCACGATGAAGCCGAGGCTTTCACGTTTAACGAGGCCCAACACCGAAGAAGCCACCGGGCCGGTTTGAAGCGGCCCAGGGGACGGCCACCGCGTGAACCGGTGTTTCTTCAGGGTGAGCCGCGCGTGTAGTTGGAGTGTGTGGTGTGGTGTTCGCATGCCTACTTTTTTGTGGTAGCGGTCTGAGAAGAGATCACGACCGAAGGTTGGAAAGACGAGGAGTTCAACCCTAGGGCCCTAGGGCCCAGCATCTTTGGACATGACCATCGGCAGCTGGAATTGTTGTTCGCTGTCACGAAGGGTGCAACCTGAGTTTTCCTTGGCAAACATGTTTTTTGGAACAGGATAATACGTTGATTTTGGAATGATCTTGGTGGTCTAAGCAAGGGCTTCAATCACCGGTATCACCAGGCCGGGGAGGGCACACCACCCGTGGAAATCCCCCCGTCTCCGTTCCTGGGGGTCAAGTGCACCTCGTCCCGATGCTTCCACACAGGTAGCTACACCGCCGTTTGACTCACCCACTGCAGGAATGAGCACTTCACATGGGAACTCCGCAGCAAACATGATCGGATTCCTGCATAATGGTGCTCCATATGCTACATACATCTCCCCAACTTGCCAACCTGTCCTTCACCTCCCAGAGTTTTCCATTTGTAGAGTTTTCTCTTGGCAGAACCTGCCTTCAGAACTGCAGGCAGAGCAGGTGCGAAAGAACTGCCCCGACTGGTGCGGCGTGTGCCCGCCGGTGGGCGCTCAAGTGATGCTACACCACAATCGTCTCTCCTGTGAATTGCCCATGAGCCTCAGCGAAGTGGTGCCTGTGCATGCCACAGCTCTCATGGGCAACATGTGTCTTGGCTGAAGAAAAGATCCAACGACTCTCAAAAAAGGGGGGAGATGTGAAACAGCAGGGTCTTCGGCAACCTTTGAACCCTTTGGTGCACTTCTGTGTTGGAATCCCAGAGCTGAACTTGGGTCGAAACGCGGTGTTCGCATCCGAGCTTCGGTCGGACATGCGAACGCGTGGACGACAAGGCTCGGGGACGGGCGAAGTTTGAGTGCATCCTGGATCTCGCCAGAGGAGCGGCAGGCGTTCCTCTTCTATTCTCCCGCAGTGTGGCGCACCAATCTGCAGGTCATGGCCTCTGTCTTGCTGCTTTCATTGGGCATCGTGGTGTTTCAGAAGAGGCTTCGGGACAAACTCCGAGTGGCTTCCAGCCTTTCGACTTCGGGTGCTTTGGGTGCTGGAGTCTTCTCATCCAACGTGGCGGTCTTGAAAGTCGCGGGCTCCATGATCATCCTGTCCACTCTGCTTTTGCTTATCGTCTCCATAAGTCCTGGGTACCATTTGTGCAGCCCGCCTCTCTCCAAGCTCACTGTGGCCAACTTGAAGGAGAGCCATTGACCCTGTGTCGTCCTCACATGGTCACCCATCTGAATTAATTTGCAAGAGGGTGGAACTCCCCTCAGCTCAATAGGCACAAAAGATTCATTTTGTCTCTCGGATTGGGCATGGCCCGGCACAATAATGAAGAACAACTTTTCAAAGACCACTGGTGCAACAACTCATGCTCTCATGGAGGAGAACCCCAGCAGCGAGCTCTTCGTGATCTTGGTGTGGTGCTTGATGAGCTTGCTGTCGATGAGTGTGATCGCCAGTATCCCAGCCGACCGCCCAGGAACCAGTGGCAACTTGGCCTTTGAAAGGTACTGGAAGGAGGAGCTCTTTGGGATGGATACAATTGCCCTGTTCCCAGGACCGTTTCGGGCTTTTCCGATCAGTTTTGGGCTTGCAAATCAATCGATGATCCTGAACAATCCCCTGTGTTCGGTACAGACATCCTACTTTCAGTTGCTGATGCCTGGTCCCTCTCAATGGATAGGCGTCTCGGCACAGGGTGGTGGTCCTGCAGCTTTTGAGCGAAGTTGTCGAGTAGTCATCGGCTGGTCAATGAAATGGTAGTTGTACCCAAAGGTAACGAATGGTAATGCATACCCATCGGGGAAGGCTGTATGGCTCTCCACCTTGTTTCTTTCATTTGTGAATGTAAAAAGGAGATCAGAACTCAATCGATCCCTTCCCGAACAAATCCCCAAGGACACCCCTCTTTCTCAAACGTGCCGACTCTTTTTTGCATCCTTTTGACACAATTTCTTACATTTTGTTATATTTTGTCCCCATGTGTTAGTTGAGGGATGTTGAGGGTCTTCAGATTTTATGTCAGCGAATTCTGTCCGCCCGCCGCCCACCTCTGCCTTCCTTACCCGCTTCCAACCAAAAATGTCGGAACAGGTTTCAGACTTGACGGCAGCGGCACATGTCAGAACAGATGCCAGCAAGGATGTCAGAACACACGCAAGAATAATTTCCCACCTTGATGCCAGATGATGTGTCAGAACACTTGCCAGAACAAAAAACACTTGTTTGCCCAGTCTATGCATGTGCCTTGCTTTCTTCCAAGTCGCTTCTTAGGGTGGTGATCCCTCGAAGTCAAGTCATTTCCGAATATCAACTCCTCAGCTGTGCTAGGTCCGCAAGGACCCCCCCCCCAGTCCTCAGACCCCTCTCTCCCCTCCCCCCTCGACCACCGCGCGCGGTCCGCGCGCGGTCCGCGCAGGTGATCCGTCGGACTCCGGCGACGAGTCCGAGACCTTCCGGGGATGGAGGGAGACCTGGCTGAGGCGCCGAGACCTTGGAGAGACGGGACCGACGGGCGAGGTTGGAGGTCCGGGACCGGACGGGTCCGGGACCGGACGCTCCGACCGGGGGGGCTCAGCTGGGTTCCATGGCGAGAACACGTGGGGTGGTGTGGATTTTGAGGGTTCGCTCGCTCTCTCTCTCTCTCTCTCTGTCACACACCGTCAACCCATCGAAGGTCTTCGCAGGTCCAAGTTTCGTACGCTCCAGGTTTCATGGAACCATCAGCACGTTGGAGGGAGGGATATATACGTTCTTTCTGGTCAGTCATTTGTTCTTTTTGTCATTTTTGATCAAACTTCAACACTGCAGAGAGGTGCTCAGTGATCATCTTCTGAAAATCAGGGAAGCTTGTGTATTCATGACTCATGACCATCTAATACCATCTATATATACTGCTTTTATTGTTTTTCTGGCAACAGGCTTGTTTACTTGACAAGATTCAACATATTTTGTTTCAGAGGCTTGCACTTAAACCTTGACATAGAAAGCTGAATCATGACAAAGTACTTGCAACAGTTTCTTTCTTAGTCTTTTTAGTCCAAGGAAGTATCTTTATCAAGACCCACAGCTGCCGTCATGGCTGCTGCAGATTGAAAGCGGGGAAACCCGGTCTGGCTTCAGATAAAGATGCTCTGGCCCTCATCCATGTGTAGGTGCGAAAGGTGCGCCCAGCGTCTATCGGGTTCCTAGAGGTATGGGGTATCTCTTCCGGATTTGCGCATCGGGCTGTCAGAAAGAGATCTCAGAGAATGCCCCCTCTAAGCATGTATTGAACACAGCTTTCTTTTCAAGACCTCCATACTTCACAACTTGTGCAGGACAATGTGCCCCACCACAGATCTGGATCCTCTCCCAATCAAGATCGGCCTGGGTGAGACTGATCGGTCGGACCCTGACGGAGGCTGCTCTCCTGGCTTTGCTGGGTCTTTGTTGTGACGCTCTTCTCATCTCCCTCCATCCTCTTCGCAGTGTCTCAGGCCCCGGTTGCTCAGAGTCTAGCTTCGTCCCGAGTGGGGTGAGACGCACCCAGGATGAGAAGCGAGAATAAGAGGCCGGATCTGATGATCAAGTCGGGCGTTCACGGCTCGAAAGAAAGGGCCCTGTCTAAACCTTGTTCCCAAAACACTGCAATCACTTGGCCAAAGCTGCTTGCCAAGCTGCCTTCGAACTCCCTCCCCGCGCACCGGCCGCTGAAATGAAGACTCCCCGCCTATAGACAAGCGGATGCCCTTCTTCGCTGGTGAGGCCTTACCTGCCAAGAACACCTTTGCTCTGTCGGAAGGGGTCTTGAGCTTCTTCCACACTGCCGCTCCACTGTTGATCGTCGGCTTGGACCTGCTGGTCTTGGGGACCCTGGCGGGATACTACTCGAAGCTCACCGGCATCAAGGCACACAGCCGCCCTGTGCGGTGTTCGTTCGACACCGCGGGATGGGAAACACCGCGGTGTTCCCGCGGTGTCTGGCCGTGGCGGCCGTGGCAATTGCATTGGTTGTGTTGTTTTTTTGGGGAGAACGAGTGCGTGAAAGACTCATGATTCCGTGGATGGCATGGCCGCTGGTGAACTCCACTTCCATGTTACGTCCCTCGGAGTGCATGTGTTGTCCTGTTTCAACCTTTGTTCATTTGTTTGTCCACAAAGGTGTCAGCATCAAATACAACCGCAAAAAGCTTTCAATTCGCTGGCATTTGCTTTATCCAAATGCATTGGGCAACCCCAACAAAGCACAGTTTGTCAAAACAGATTTGCTCTCGGTAAGCCTTGGGTCTTAATCAGAACCCTCAACCACCGAACCAAGGCAATAGACCCTTCAGCATGAAGCCGACTCCACACTTGCCCAACTCCAGTCTTTCGAATGCGGCGACACCGTCAACATCCAGTACCGCATTTGGCCCATCTTGAGGACTTCACTTGATGGGTCTTCTACTCGTAGCGAAGAAATTTAGGTTCCCCTCAGCGGGATCCAGTACCGCATGTTCGTGGTGATTTGTGGCACCCTCTTACCCTTAATAGATTCGGGTTTGAAGGTCTCATCGGATGGCCACCCAGAGATGGGCCATCAGCCCCCAGCCCCCCCCACCTCGATCAGAGTCGCCTCTGGAGGCGGATCGATTGATGATGGCCTTTCGCCTGGGTACTGCGTGGCTCTTACCCTTGCTGATCACGGTCTCTCTGCATGAGAACTGCATGGGGGGCTGGAAGCTCTTCTGGACCGTGTGCCACTCGGAGCTCTGCATGAGAAGCCACTGCCCAGCGGGCCGGGAGGAGGAACCCCTCAGAAAGTGTAGAGCAAACAAACACAAATTGATCGAACAGCCTCCCCACATGAGGCCAGGAAGACTCGCCTGAACATCAGATCTTCAACTTGCAGATCTGGGAAGAGCAAATCTTGAGCACCGAGAAGGAGAAGAAGCACCCGTTTTTCAGAGGTTTCGAGATCTTTATAATGTCACGCTCCCCATGAAGGGATGTGAAGAGAGTCCAAAGCAAGCAAGCTCCTTCAAACAAGTGCACAGTTGCTCTGTGCTTGATTAACCGTTTGCGCCACGAACGCAAGCAAAGGAGCCAACACAGTTTTGTTTATTTGCTTACGACAAGGGGGAGTTGATGATGGATAGATATATATTGGTACAGAGCATGTCGAAGATATTGATATTGAATGATATTCACATCTCCAAGAATGTGAGCGGCCAATGAGGGTTCCTCTCTTTTCGATATGCAAGTGCCTTACTTATATACTGCACTATAAAACACCCAGGAGGTGCCAGAATTCATCTCTGGCAATGCCAGGACCTCTGCACACTCAGCGAGGATTGGTGGTGCGATGGCCGTTGCACGCGCTCGATCGTGGACAACTTGACCCCGCTCCTCCTCAAGAACCTGGGTTGACCTTCGGGGGCGGCCTGGAACCGTGACTGGCGGGTCTGGGGGGGTTGTAAAGGGAGAATGGGCCTCTTGATCTTTTGCAAAACACGTGTACACGATTGCTTATCAAACATTTGCCTCACTGAACATCGAAGTGGGAACATTAAGAATGAACAACACGTCTCATAAAGGTATGTTCAGATCGTGAAACAGCACGTCATTGTGAAATTGAAATTGTGAAAATTTGGCTCTTGAAGGTGTTGCAGTCTGGGTTTCATGCTACTTGAGTCCTTCTGAAACAACTCGTGGGGAACAAGCCCCTACAGCTTTAGCAGGACTGCTTGTTGTACCCCGTTGTTGCTTGTTACACCCCAGGCTTCTGGTCACCTTCGCATGGAAGAAGTCCACCAGGTTGCGACCTCTAAAACCTCCTGTTGTCTGCTGAAAGCCACGACCCAGTGACCTCCTTTCCGTTCAACTCTTTTTGGGGAGTGGACCCGAGCGGACAACCAATGAAGGGGTTCGACTGATTTGCAGAGAAGAACACCTCAGCAGCACCAGGAAACTCTTGATCCGCAGCACTCTGCAGCCTCTCTTCTTCGTAATGCTCTGGCGCATCTCCCACACAAGCGATGAGGACCGGCATGCGCACATCGTATGTGTGGAAGTTGGTTTCGTGCGCATGCCGCACACCGGTTGTCCTTGCGTCGCAGCTGAAGAAGGGCTGAACTCTGCGCAGAGGTGGAGATCGTGGAATAGACCCAGAAGGTTTGGAAAACAACACTAGTCACTAGAAGCGACACACGATTTTGCACATTTTGCAAGGAAACTGCTTTTCAAAGAGAAGTGAGTCTTTGTTTCTCTTGGGATCCAGCTGCGCCTAAGAACTGATCCTAGCTGGAGAAGGCTTTTGCCAGGCCAATGCTGCGGATACGCAGCACTGTGCCACCTTTCGCACCACCCAACCCCCCCCATCTCCTCCCTGCTCCCCTCTCCTCCCCCGGTCGCAACCGGTCCCCTGACGCGGCTGAAGCACCCGGCGAAGCACCAGGGCCACTTGGTGTTGCCGGTCGGACCGGGGTGGCGAACCAGCGGACTGCTGATGCCGCAGAAGCAGGTGACCCTTCTGACCACGCAGCTGGGAGAGGCGAAAGAGCGGAGACGGGGAGGTGGGAGAGGCCTGTGAGGTGGGAGCGAGGCGTGCGGCGATGTGCTTCTTGGGTGAAACCTGTTCTGTTAGGAGCCCCGTCAAAAGGTCCTGGTATTGAGATGATGGTCTTGTGGTCCCTGGATGAGAAGGCTTTTTTCGTTTGTTGGGTCATTGAGTCCTTCTTTTTCCCCCTTGAGACGGACACCTTCAGTTCATTCACCGATGAGGCCCACCCTGGGGAGTCCCCCCGCAGCCGGTAGTCTTTGGGACCGGCGCTAAGGGAGGGTGAAACAAACCCAATCAAAGGGACTCCACTGTGGATCTTTTGAAGAAAGACACAGATTGGCTCTCCATTTTGGCTGTGAACTTTGCCTGACAGACTCGTTCTTTTGCTTCTTTAGCTGAAGAAAGACATGAAGCCTCTACAGAAGAAGAACATCATGAGCCTCTACAGATCACACTCCTTTGATCTTGCTCTCCATGAACATCGTGCACCCCAAAGATCTGCACCAATCTCCGCGCACCTTTCGGCCCATGTGGCGCACCGTTCGGCCTCGTGTGGGCCACCCACCTTTGGCTCTGAGGTATTTGGAGGTCTTGTTTTTCTGGAGTCCGTTCATCCCTTTCTTGAGCTTGGCCATCCTCATCGCCGTCTGCGCCAACGTCTTGGTGTTGGATATAGGCTTGGTGACCTTCAAGCCTTCAAGAAACAGCGCATGTGTGAGGGGGAAGTCTGTTTGACAAGGACGAGTTTGGAAGATGAACGCCCATCTTTGGGGTCTTGGGGTGGTGCTCTGAAGTTCTGATGGAGTCAGATGCCGCTGGGTGCGCTTGCGCGCTTGTCACGCTGGTCATCAAAACAGACACCCGCTGGAATCGGATGGAGTGTTCCATCCAACAATTCTCGTTGTTCGCGTTGGTGAGCTTCGTCTGTTCGCGTTCCCGCGGGTTTTGGGTGTCGGAGCCGGTTTTTGCGCCGCGACTGCCGACAGCCGAGCTTCGGCACGACCAGGCCTTCGGTGGTATGGGGTGCAGGTGCCTCCGGACGTCCGCAGATTGTCCAGGTGGGGCTGGCCTGTCGCCTGTCGCCGTGTCGGCGATCGTACTTTTGATCGGGTGGCGCGCCACCGGTGGCGCGCGAGGAGCTGCGCGGGTCCTGTTTTGGTGGGGCTTGGAAAAAAGATGGAACAAGAATCCAGCTCGCCAAAAGAAGTGCAGAGATGAGGGAGGGCTCTGAAGGGCTCCCCAGGTAGGTGAAAGCAAATGTTTTCTTTGGTTTCAGGAAGCCTTTGGCGGTTTTGCTCCCCACCCCCCAAGAACCTTCGTTGTATCGTGAGCATGTTCTGGTTCCTTCAAAAGACGGGTTCCTTCCAATCCTGGCCGTGTAGCGATGTGCAGGTCGTATCTGAGGTTGACCCTTCGTGCCACTGGTGGCTTTCAACTCTGGCATGCCTTTGGGACCGAGATGTGGGGCCGACACGTGCTGCTGGCTCTGCACTTCTTGCTGCTGATCCCTTGGACCACTCGACTGCTTCCGGTGCAGAGAGCCAGGCAGCCAGTGAGTCTGGTGAGTCTTGTTGCCATCTTTTCGGGTTTACAGATGTTTACAGTTGAGTTACACTCATTTTTTTGGGGGGGGCAAATGCCAAGCCATGCCAACCGTTGACTTCCTTCTAAGAATTGGCATCGACAGATCTGCATCAGCTAGTTCTTTAGGCAGGTCTGCCTGTGAAAAAGGAGTGGCAGGCTCAAACGAAGTTTTTTGAAGCATGATCGAGACATGCACTCCTTGAACTCATCATGAACATCCGCGGATAGCAGGACCCTTTGAGTCAGCCAGGTGGTTGTCATTCCACTTTCACACCGTGTTTCGCTCGGCCCCCCCGGGGCGCCTGCAGAACGACGATGGGGGTGGGGGTATCGGCCCAAGCTGGGTTTAGGTATATGCTTAGGTATGCTTAGGTATGGTGGGGTAGGTTCTTCCAGAATCTGGGTGATGTAGTTTCTGGGTGAAGACTATGACCAAGGAGCGGCTGTTTTGATGGAGGAAAGCCAGAGGAGCGTTCCCCTCCGAACTAAGCCGGGGACATACCACCATCTCTTGTGACCATCCCAATATGTAGCCATTTAAAGCCATTGAACACCTCTACATCGAATCCAAAACGCCAAAAACACCTTCCCTCTTTCGTGTCCCTCTAGGTATCCTTTCTTTTTGCAGCCCTCGAACCACCACAAGATCGGAAAGGTCCACCACAAGAGCAAACCACGCCGATCAGCTTCGCACCAGCCGCACCTCCTCTGCCGATCACAGGCACCTCCTCTGGCGAACACCGCGACACCCACGCCGCAGAGGGGACAACGCTCTGGCGAACACCTCGACCCCGTCGTCGATCCAACTGGGCGATCTCCAGGTGGAGCGATTGGGTGGGGCGAGAGTCATGCGACCAGATAGAGGCCCTGCCTTCCAGCTAGAGGGGTGTAGAAGTTCAAGAGGTTTGGCTTCAGATAGACAGTTGCCCTTCCTTCAAGAAGATGGTTGGCGGCTTTGAAGATGGAAGATGGGTCTTCAGTGACGATGGAGTCTCCTCTGCTCGAAGCTTGCTTTGGATGGTCAGGATAGCTTCTGATTTCGGATCTATGTCTAGTGAAATAGAAAGAAGGGGCAGCACCTTGCATACGCAACAAGAAGATCATGATGTGCTAGGACGAGCCTTGGACTTTACCCGGGAAGACAGGGGCGAGCACTCGCTTGTGCACTTGAAATTTACCTCGCTTGTGCACTTGCAAATTTACCTCGCTTGTGCATTTTTTCTACTAGTACTACTACTACTACTACTACTACTACTTCTACTACTCCTTACTACTGCTACTACTACTACCACTACCACTACCACTACCACTACCACTACCACTACCACTATACTACCACTTTACTACCACAACTACCACAACTACCACTACTACAAGTACTACTCCTACTACTACTGCTACTACTGCTACTACTACATCATACTACTGCGACGAAGACCACGACGACGACGACCGCGAAGACGCAGACGAATAGTACTACCACGACGACTACTACTACTACTACCTTTACCACTACCATTACTACTGACTACTACTACTACTACTACATCATAGTACTCACTAACTAGCTAGCTTGCTAGCTAACTAGTTAACTAGCTATCTATTTAACAAACAAACAAACTAACTAACTAGATCAGACACAGAACATCTGTATCACATGGTTCTTTGGAAGCACATATTCAATAAAGATCATCACGTGGAAGAATGTCAACAAAGACGTTATTAACCCCCCCACCCCCCCACCCTGAAACGTAGAGGCCTACTTGTACAGGTTCCACTCCAGTGGCCTATCTAGTGTGTCCATGCTTGACTGCCATAAGGCTCAAGAGGATAAGACTCTGCGTAGAAAAAGACACTAGCGGTCTGCACCTCAATCGTGTACGCCCTAGTCACTCTTTCAGTGGTAGCGGAGCAGTGATCCTGGAAGACCCAGGTGAGCTCCTTTCCTAGGCATAGACTTGCTTTTAGGCAAACAGCCATGGATTGGATTGACGACTGGGAAGAGCCTGATGCGGATGTGGCTTATGAGCCAGCAGCCTATGTGAATAGGCATGTGAGAAGAGAACCAGCAGCTATAGCAATGACAACACAGGTCACTACAAAGGTGCCCCCATCTTATGATGGAAAGACTTCATGGTTTTCCTATGAGGATGCCATAGACGATTGGTGCGATATCACCGAGCTGGAGGATGAGAAGAGAGGACCAGCATTGAGGAACAGATTAGAAGGAGAGGCAGCTGTATACAAACGTGTTTTAGACAGAGATGCATTGAAGGCGAATGATCCACCAGGAGCTGGAGTAGATTATTTCAAACGAGTACTACGACCATATTTTGTGAAAGGAGCAACCAATGTATTCCTGCATAGGTTTATGCAATTCGTGCGCTTCAATCGCGGATCAGCTGACATGATGAAGTGGATGACAAGATCTCAGATTTTACTCCAAAGGCTTATGAGCAGTTGGATGGACATGTTGGAGCCAGTCACACAAGCACATCCTCAGGTACAAGCTCAGATGCAAGCTGATGCAGTGGTGAATGGAGTAGCTCCAACGGCGGAAAGAATTCAGGAAATCATGCAGACTATCAATGGCAATCTGAGAACTTTTCATCAGAACGATTTTCCTTTGGGAGAAAATCTCATTGCATTACTCATGCTGTCACTTGCAGATTTGTCTCAGGACCAGAGGAACACTTTGACCTCTTTGATGACTCATCGTGGCAGGGTCCCGCAGCAATACACCACAACAGAGTTGAGGACAGTTTTCATTGAGATGTTCTGCACGACAAAGACTTCAGTAGACAATCCCTTGATGCAGCCGACAGGTGCTGGAGGTAGGAGATCATTCATCGTGTTTGAAGAAGGAGAACTCGATGGTACACATGGCTTTTGGGCCGAAGATGAAGAAGATGGAACAGAAGGATTTCTTGATGCCCTGGACGATGTCTTCTGGGTATATGATGAACAGAATTTCTCTTGGTTCCAGAGGAGATTCCAAGGAAGAAGAGCCAGAAAAGGCAAAGGAAAAGGAAGAAGAAAAGGAAAAGGTAAAGGAAGATCAGGCCGCAGATTTTTCAGACCTCGTGGAAAAGGAAAAGGAGGAAAGAGACGAGGTAAAGGCCATTATGCTGATGAGCAACCGCCAACTTATCCAGATGAGTATTTTGAGGAGAATCCTTATGAGGACACTTGGGAGTCAAACCAAGTAGCATATGATGCCATTCTTGCCGAAGATATGAATGACTATCTTGAAGGAGAACATGAAGATGCCTGTGACTTTTGGCAACAGTTGGAAGAAGCATGGTTTTCCCACAAGGGAAAAGGAAAAGGCAAGAGAAAAGGCAAGAAAGGAAAAGGAAAAGACAAGGGAGATGGCAAACAAGATGCAAACTATGCAAATCAACAACAGCCACGCTCTTTGCCTGCACCTTCAAGATCTTCACAAGCATCAGGAAGCCACCAAGGTTTCTTTGCGCATTGTGTGACAACAGCAGCTGAAGTCCATGACAGTGAGGTGAACTTGCTGTCAGGCATGATGACCTCATGTCAAGATGAAGCTGACTGTAAGGTCAACAATGGTGAGATGATCTTCGATGGCATGAGTGCCCCTGTGAGGTACTCTTTGTCAAAGGAGATGCCCACAAGTGCTCCTGATGGCTTTGCGCTTATGAGCGCTGAGGAAGAAGTGAAAGAGACGCAGGCTATTTCATTTTTGACTGAGAATCGCTTCCCGCCAACTATTGCAATCCTGGACATTGGATGCACTAGAGCTATGGGATCAAGGCGTGCAGTCGATTATTGTTGTAACTATGTCGACAGTCACCCAAATTGTGGACTATGGTACTCTTTTGAGGCTACCAAGAGCAAGTTTTACTTTGCCAACTCTCAGATGGCTTCTTGCTCTCAGAAACTGGTGATTTACATGTATGATCGCGCATGGGCGATCCACAATACAGAGTTCGACATAGTGGAAGAAGGAGAAGTCCCTTTGCTTATGAGCTTGCCACAGATGAGAAACTTAGGCTTTGAACTCAGGCTGACACCTCAACATGCTTATCTGACATCGGTGCCTCTTGGTATCACACATTTGGAGTTGAGGGTTGCAGCCAGTACTCATCTTGTTTTGGACTTCCAAGATATTGCATGGTATTTGTCTGACGTGCGTTTGCAGGCTCGGCGTGAGAAGAGTTTTTACTCTCACTTCACTCACTATGAATATGGCCATATTTCTGTTGATCACAATAGTGATGAAGATGAAGCTGAGCATGCATATCCTGTGGTTGATTACTGGGAAGTAGATGTTCACAAAAGAGAACTGATACGTCACCACAAGGATTACAGGAAGATTCTCAAGAAGAAAGAAGGAGGAGAAGAAATCAAGAAGCTAGATGATTGGCGCAAGGCAAAATGGAAGGACCTACAAATTGGCTATGAATGGCGTGGTAGAACAATTTTTAAGTTCAAGCCAGATGCCAAAATTCCAGATCTTAAGATCAGGAAGGCTGGCATTGAGCACCGTGGCATTGGTGATCCCGATGCAGTGGTGCGCTCCTCCTCAGAGAAGGTTCCCATTGCAAAGGACAGGGAACCAGGCTTCTCTTCAGAGAAGGAAGGTGTACCATCCAGTGTTGCGGAAAAGCCTGTGCCGCCAAAGTTTCGGTATACCTCCAAGGGTTATGATCCATTTTGGAAAGGACACAAGTTGAAACCGTCTGAGCCTCCACATGATTTAAAGGGTGATGATCTTGAGGAGTATACTCCCTCAGAACCACCTGAGAGGCCAGAAGGTGAACTTGTAGAAATTCCTAAAGCATCAAAAGGACCATCAAGTGATAAACATGAGCCACTTGAACCAGGTGATGGCGCTCTTGAGCCAAGGCGGATTTCAATCCCATTACCTGGTAGTGAAGTTGTTGCAATGACACCCGCATATAGGAAGATGTTGCAGAGACTGGAGGACAAGGTAGAGCTTTATAAGCTTCATGTGAAGCACTACCATATGAGTCCTACTCAGTTTCGTAGGCGTGTTTCTATGTTGAAGCTTCCTGACTCTGTTTTAGAGAAGTATGAATCAGTTGTCAGGAACTGCCGTGTTTGTAACACTTCAGTGGCACCTCCGCCACGAGCCAGAGTCTCCGGTATTAGAGCTTCATGTTTTGGTGATGTTGTTTTTGCTGATCATTGTGAGGTTGAACTTCACAAGAACAAGTATATCATTCTACTTGTTCTTGATGGTGCCACAAATCTTCTCTGGGCTACGGCGCAGAAAGACCTCATAGATCAAACCACCATCCAAGCATTGAGGCAATGGTCTGATGAGAACAACTGTGTTCCAAAGGCCATTGTAGGAGACGAAGCCTTTTTCACAGATGCTTTTGTTGAATACTACAGGTTCCATGGTATACAACAATGTCCTTGTGGGCCAAGAACTCCTTGGCCGAACCGAGCAGAGACAGCTGTACGTTTGTTCAAACGTATGTGGCATGTTACGAAGGTAGATCTGGATGACCCACGTTTTCGTGGTGTTATGGTCAGAGAAGTGGTCAAGAAGGTAGTTTGGGCAAGAAATTGTCAGTTGACTATCAGTGGATATTCACCAATAGAGATAGCAACTGGAAGACGTCCACCAGATCTTTTTGACCTTGAGACCGCAAGCCCTGAGCAATTGTCAGCTAATGCAGCCGCACAAGATCGTACAAATCTGGAACTACAACGTGTGGCTTTGAGAGCTCATCAAGAAGCACGACAAGCTCAGGACCTTCGAGCAGATCTTGCAAGAAGGACTATGCCAAGTGACGGTCCCTATTTCCAAGGAGAGAAG